GGCCTCGGCCCCAGGCCCCGGCCCAGCTCCGGCCTCGGCCCAGCCCCAGGCCACTGCCCAGCCCCAGGCCCCTTGCTGGCCCCGTGGGCGGGGTCGCTCGTCAGGACCCCCCGCCGTGCGATCCCTGTAAACAAGCTACGAAGTGGAAATCCGTTCTTGTCTTGCCCAAAGGTTTTTGCCCTTGTGGTGGTCATGCAGCTGGACCGTGTGGATGCCTTGGACTGTGGGCCGGGAGAGTATCCCGTGGGTGCTGAGTGCTGCCCGATGTGTGCTGCTGGTAGGTACCTGTGGGCCGCTGGCTCACCATCTCCGCTGCGGAGGAAGGCGCCCTTCCTCATCCCGCACGGCCGTGGGCTCACCTGCCTGCTCCGCTCAGCCAGCTCTGCCTGCTGCACCCTGGCAAGAGCCTTGCAACTCGCGGTTGTGAGCTTGACGCCAGAATGTCCGCTTCCAGCCTGCGTTCCTGCCTCACTGTCACCACCACAAGGCCTCGTCCCTTTGTTTGGAGCCTTCGGCGTGGAGGCCGCGATTGCCAGAGCCTCTCTGCTGTGGTGGTTTCACCGTTTCCAAGGACTTTCATTTTGGATCCTGGTTTCTGTTTTAGGATTATCTCTGCAGCTGCTGTTAGGATATTTCTGAGGTCCTTGTAGTTTATTTATAATAATTACGTGTGGTTTAATGCCAGTGTCAGACCTGGCCATGTAAGCTTTCCTAATGGGGCCACTTGTTGGGGGGGGTTGTTTCTGGTTTTTAGGACTTCGGGTTTTCAAGCATTGCACTGCAGATTCCAGCACGACGTGCGTACCTTGTGTTGAGGATACATATACAGATCATCCCAATGGTTTAGAACACTGCAGGAAGTGTAAACTCTGTGATAAAGGTAAGATAAAGCTGAAGAACCAGTTTAAATGGATTTTTCGTGGCTTTTGTGGATACATTCTTCTTTCTTGCCTCATTCGCTTGATGAATTGGTTAGAGTGTGAAGAGCAGAGAGGCTTGTGTCACTGTGCAGACCTTGGAATGCTATCTGCTGGGTGATGGAAGGGAAAAACTGGCATAGATCTTCAGCTGGCACCAGTGCAAGTTTGATCTGCAGCCTCTCTTAACATGTCTTGCAGAGGTGATCAGCTCCAATGTGGGTGCGCTCTGCAGTGGAGCGGGGGATTGCGGCGCACAGGGAGGTTTGCTGAGCCAGGGAAACCCCAGGGGAGCACAGAGGCCCGCCAGGAGCTGGCAGCTCTCACCAGAGCAGCTGACGAGGTGTGGGCTGGGCCAGGAGTAATGGCGGCCACCCCACTCCCACAAAATCAGCCCCAGGGAGCGCAAAGTGACCAGGAGCGCTGCAAGCAGGACAGGCAAACAAGGCATGGCATGGCAGTTCACGCGGAATGGCGTGCAGGGAGGGCACCTCTTCCAAGGAGGGGCATTCCACCAACCGGCAAGTGCTCAAGCCACACCACCCAGGTTGCAGAAGGCAAAGACAGGGACTGGGGAGAATGAAGAATCGCCCACTATAGGAGAAGATCAGGTTCAAGACCATCTGAGCAACCTGAAGGTGCACAAGTCCATGTGACCTGATGAGATGCATTCACAGGTCCTGAGGGAACTGGTGGTTGAAGTTGCTAAGCCACTATCCATCGTATTTCAGAAGTCGTGGCAGTCTGGTTCGAAGTTACCGCTGGGTGGAAAAGGGGAAACATAACCCCCATTTTTAAAAAGGAAAGAAAGGAAGACCTGCAGAACTACAGGTCAGTCAGTCTCACCTCTGTGCCCGGCAAGACCATGGAGCAGATCTCCTGGAGACTATGCCAAGGCACATGGAAAATAAGGAGGTGATTGGTGACAGCCAACATGGTTTCACTAAGGGCAAATTGTGCCTGACAAATTTGGTGGCCGCCTACGACGGAGTTACAGTGTTGGTGGGGAAGGGAAGAGCAACTGATGTCATCTACCTGGACTTGTGCAAAGCGTTTGACACTGTCGCGCATGACATCCTTGTCTGTAGATTGGAGAGACATGGATTTGATGGATGGACCACTCGGTGGATAAGGAATTGGCTGGATGGTTGCGCTCAAAGAGTTACAATCAACATCTCGATGTCCAAGTGGAGACCAGTGATGAGTGGCATTCCTCAGGGGTCAGTATTGGGACTGGCACTGTTTAATATCTTTGCTGGCAACAAACCAGCGACTCAACCCCATGGGCAGTGGGGTTGAGTGCACCCTCAGCAAGTTTGCTGATGACACCAAGCTGTGTGGTGCGGTTGACATGTTGGAGGGAAGGGATACCATCTGGAGGGACCTGGACAGGTTTGAGACATGGGCCCCTGCGAAACTTAGGAAATTCAACAAGGCGAAGTGTGAGGTCCTGCACATGGGTCAGGGCAATCCCAAGCACAAATACAGGCTGGGTGAAGGATGGATTGAGAGCAGCCCTGAGGAGAAGGACTTGGGGGTGTTGGTTGAGAAGTGCAACATGACCTGTCAATGTGGGCTTGCAGTCCAGAAAGCCAACTGTATCCTGGGCTGCATCAAAAAGCAGTGTGGCCAGCGTCGAGGGAGGGGATTCTGCCCCTCTAGTCCTCTCTCGTGAGACCCTACCTGGACCCCTACATCCAGCTCTGGGGCTTCCAACATATGAAGGACACAGACCTGTTGGAGCAAGTCCAGAGGTGGGCCACAAAGATGATCAGAAGGCTGGAGACGCTTTCCTGTGAAGGCAAGCTGAGAGAGTTGGGGTTGTTCATCCCAGAGAAGAGAAGGCTCGGGGCAGACCTTATCACAGCCTTCCAGCACCTAAAAGGGCCTACAGGAAAGCTGGAGAGGGACTTTCTGCAAGGGCTTGTAGTGATGGGACAAGGTCTAATGGCTTTAAACTGAAAGAGGGTAGGTGTAGCTTAGATGGAAGGAAGAAATTCTTCACTCTGAGGGTGGTGAGGCACTGGCACAGGTTGCCCAGAGAAGCTGTGGATGTCCCATCCCTGGAAGTGTTCAAGGCCAGGTTGGATGGAGCTTTGACCAACCTGGTCTGGTGGAAGGTGTCCTTGCCCGTGGGGCTTGGAATTGGAGGATCTTTTAAGGTCCCTTCCAACCCAAACCATTCTATGATTCTATGATTTAAAAGCTTCTTCAGATTGCAGCATGGTGCCTAAAGATCTGTCTTGGAATACTTGGAATTTCAGGCCTGAAGGAGCTTCTGGTGGAGCTGCTTCT